TTCGCCAACTTAGGATGAGACCAACCTACGAATCTCGTCACACAATTTTACTCTTTAAAAAAATCCGATCAACACTTATACGCCAAGAGATCCTAGAAAACAAGTTTCTTTTCATATATCTACTATACAGGAATACACAACCAAAGCAATAATACATTTGCCAGGCCAAACAAAAACTGACAAGAATAATAGGACAGAACAATGTGTGCATAAATGTGAAAAAGCCTGCGTTTCTCCCCAAAAAATATCAAGGAATTTTGACGTAGAGAACCGACATTCCAAGTTATTACAGAATCTCTTCTTTCGTTAAGGTATCTTTATCGTAAAATGAATTAAAAAGCTTTGATTTGATTGGAAGAAATACGCAACGAAGTTCCTTGGATGAGCAAGCAGATCACTAATATTAAGTTCGCACTAATTTATTGGTTATCTTCAAAAGACCCACCCGTTGCTTCTGCATCAGCAACAGTGCCAATTGATGCCACTTCACGGCGCCTGCTTGCTGTCAGCTGGCTAAACATAGAATGTTGCCGCCCGCGGCGGCCAGACATCAGAGACCCAGCACCAGCAGGCCAGCCACTTCCCTGACCAAGAATAAGGACGGCTGCAGCAGCTACCAGCTGATCAAGCATTAGTTGGTCAAGAGGGGCAGGCCGATCACCGATCGCCACCTCATTAGTTAGCCTTGCCTCAGGCTCGCCACTTCCTGACATGCGAGGGGATTCTGCTGTCGCGACTGGACTTTCCACAAGAGGATTCGATAAGGACGATGGAATGTTGGTATCTGAAGAAAATAGAAGGCGACTACTCGGTACAAATGCTGGAGGTAGGCGGAGAGTGCCGATGCAGGAGTCTGCTCCGCACAGGCAAAGACTGTTGCTGCCAACCAGGCCAACGGAGATAAGGCTTGAGGCTGTGTAATCAAGAGTCAATTCGTCACCCAAACTGATTGGCTGATTGGCGAAGAGGCCTATGAATAATGAAATCGCAAATGAGGAAGTTCGAAACAAAAGAGAATTGAACTAAATCAGCTTCTGTAAAGGAGGAATAAAGGTGATT